AACATGACTAATAATAATTAAAATATAACACAAATTTTTTAGAAAAAATGACAAGTGAAGAGTACCACTGCTAATTTTAGAATTTGTAATGGCCACATTTTGAGAAGATTGAATGTGAATTCCATCAGTATTTGGACTATTTCCTGGAGATTGAATCATTACATTGTTCACATTGAAGCCATTGCATCTCTCTATAAGTATATGAGTTTGCGCACTGTTTGCAAAGTACATGTTACTGATGGAACTCTGACTGCAAAGAATGAACTTCAACGCCTGTGGAACAAGCGTAGAAATGAGGATTCATATAGCAGACTCCAACTTGTTTGGGACTGAGGCGTAGTTGTAATAAGAAGTGAAGAATTTAAGTTAACTTGTTACTTGTTTAACAATTTTCTTTACCTTCTCTTTAAATTCTTTCATAGCCATGTTGCTCGGACTCTCACAAACAATGTTGTTGCACCCTTGTCAGATCCTCCAAAAATGCATTATTTTGGAAGATCCGACATGCACTTGGTGACATTTTTGAAGCGTCAGAGCAACATACGTTTTTGGTATAACAGAAGTCATTTCTATTGTTTGGTTTCCAGAACTATTATCAATAAATATTTTTCACTCAGCAACCAAACACCGGAAAACATTCTTCATGTAAAATGACTTATTGTCTAGAAGTACTTACAGTTGGAGCTAATCTTGTGCATCCTTCCTGAAAAGTAAAAAAAAAAAGATGAAAAAAACAAATCAATCCATGTCAAATACCATAATAGAACTAATATCCGTTCCGTCTGTACAGGTGCACATAAACTGATCCAGACATTACAGTTATCGAGAAAGAAAGTTAGCTTATCTATGAACATACCATTTCAGGGTGGTATCTACATGATTGATCCCACCATCCTTTTCCTTGACCATCAATGGTTCCTGAGCCATCAACAACTAGACCGCTAACGTTGTTGAAAGCTAGCCATTGACTCGAGTCTTGCCCGGTCCATACACTTGGTGAGCTTGGTGAAACAAGACTACCCGATATCTACAAGAGCCACGGAAATTCACATATTTCACTTAGGCTAACATTTTCCAAATACGATTTAACTTATATACACTGGTTAGTTTGTCATAGCGAGTTGTCTGCTTTAAGTGATTTGATAGTGTAATGATTATTTTTAACTGTCAGTGTATAGCAATTAAACTGTTACGAATATTAAAGAGTGGTTTATGTTTTTTTTCATACCACAAAATAGAGATTCTCTGAATTGCAGGGGCCTGTGAGTGTCACAGGGCTAAGTAAAAATATCATATTTGGAGGAATAATCACTTGAGGAGATCCAGCTGAGGATGAACATGCATCATTCCAAGTATTAAGTAATGCCTGAAAAAAAAATTAAAAAAAAATTCCTTAATTTCTAGAGCAAAAAATAAAATATATTTGATATTTAGTGGAAAATAAAGGAACACAAGCAAAAAGAGTTGATTGAAGGTCTCGAATTCAAGCTCTGTGTATGGAAAAAAATCATAGTAGGGAGCAGTTTCGCGCTTTAATAGGTCGGGGCTGAACCAGGGGTGCTTCATGCAAATCCAGATTAGTCAGGCTCCAATGCAGCTACCGGATACCAAGTGGGGACCAACCAATAGTGTTTTCCCCTCTAATAGGCATTATAGATCATGTTCATGGATTAATGAAAATATGTTAACATTCTATTTGCCTCTTCCATTCTATGAGTTATGGCACTAGCTCAGCCTAGTCGGGGCCCACAATCGAGTGTTTTCCCTTTAATAGACCTTATGCAACACAAATCTAGATTAGTGGGGGGACACAATATAGGTACCAGACACCCGATGGGACACCACCCAGGAGCACTTCCTCTTTCAATAAGTCTTGTGCAGTGTGAATCTAGATTAGTGGAGACCATAGTATAGGTACCAGACACCCGGTGGGACACCAACCAGGAGCACTTCCTCTTTCAACAAGCCTTATGCGGTGTGAATCTGGATTAGTGGGGACCATAGTATAGGTACCAGACACCCGGTGGGACACCAACTAGGAGCACTTCCTCTTTTGTCTTATGCAGTGTGAATCTGGATTAATCGGGGCAAATAAAGGAACAAATATATAACAATTAACTTACTTGAGAATCATCAGTAATGCCATCAGCAGCAGCTCCATAATCCAGTACATTAAAACTTCCTGGATATCCAAATATACTTGCACTGTATATTCTTGAATTTGTCAAGCCAATTAAAATGAACAAGAGAACCAATATTTTCTACAAAAAAAAAAAACAAGATTATTATTGTCATATAAATTGTAAATGGTTATTTAATAGACACGAGGGCTAGAGCAGTCCAATGCACTAAGCTACCACTACGTGCAGGATCCAAAGAAGGGCCGGACCACAAGCATTTATTGTACACAACCTTGCCCTGCATTTCTACAAGAGGTATACGTTGTTTCCACAGTTTAACCCCGTGACCTCCTAGTCACGTGACAACAATTTTACCAGTTATGCTGAACATAAAATCAAATAAATAGGATGATAATGAGCTTCAAAAATCCTTACCATAGTATATGAAGAGATAGAGGAACACATTGGAAATTGATAATGATCTGTGCCATGACCAAAAAATTAATAACATTAGTTCTTGAAAAAGAAAAAAAAAAGTTGCATTTCTCAAAAAAAAATTGTAGTAATGAGTATAATCTTGGAAAAGGTATTGATTCTTTAGACTAACACCTTGTTTGAATGGTTGTTACGTATTATTTGAAAATGAACACTACTACAAATAAAAATGGAATTAGTGACGAATATATTATTTTTTTGCAGCTAAATAACAATATATGTCAAATTATCGAAAAACTCTGTTAGAGACAAAATTTGTAGCTAATTTTGTGTTTTTTTTATTGAAAAAAAATAAGAAACTAAGCTGAAGATACATACACAACTTACAAAGGCAAATGTGCTAAGATATGATCTTGAATGAATATTTTTTTTCAATTTTATAAATGGGAATTTTGCCATTGTGGGAAAAGATTGAAAAGAAAGCAACATAACAAGTTGACAAATTTGGAACAATTTAAGATAAGAATATTTGTCAGAATTGGAGTGCAAATTAAGTTTGATTTATAGTTCGAATTTGCCAATCCAAGCATGCAAAGCCAACACTTTATTTATAGTTTTATATTATAAGTTGAAGAAAAAAATGGAAAATTTAATGAGGATTATAGTACTCATTCAAAAATGTACAAAAGAAATTAAATTGTACTAAAGTCTAATGGTGTTTTATGCATCCACATTTTAAATATATTCAAAATCAACCATATATAGATATATATTTCAAAATTCACTCTCTTAATTCAAACTTCAGACGTCTAAATTATAAATTTGTCATAAGTTGAAACGATTTAAAATAGGTTAATGTTGACTATCTATTGAACTTAACTAATAATTCCAAAGTAAGTAATTAAATATTAATAAACTAGAAAGAGGTGCAAAAAAGCACAATCATCATTTCTTCTTGTTTTTTTTATTTTTCTCTTTCTTTTTTTAAATGTATTTATTTTTATTAATGCATTATTATATACTATGGAGGGTTGTGATTGGACATTGAAGAGGTAAATAAAAAAAATGGTTTAATTTTAGATGGCTTGGACTTGTATTACAAGCAATTGTTCCTTCAAAGGTTTAAAAATGTTTCCCCACTAATATTATTTTATTAAAATCCTCTTATCCCCTTTCTAGTTTTATCATTTTTAATCAATCTTACCATCAATGAAATTGATTGATTTAAATCTAGCACAAACAAAAAAAAATATTAAATAATTTATTTTCATTTATTCTAGTTTTGATAGATAAAGTTACTTAATATCTGTTGTTAATGAAAAACGAAAAGTATTCTGCAGAATTAATCAATATGCTTATGAGTTAGTTAGAACAATGCGATTAATTAAAAAAATCTATATTAATACTCATATAGTCACTTTTCCTTTTTGGACTTGTCTCCACGTGGTTGGTCCATGATGTGTTTCAGAATTTTGGATTATGGGCCAAAACCAATTTGGGCCGAGCTTTTGTTGGATCTTGGGCCATATAGCTTTGGCCCAAGTGCATAATTAACTATTTTTGGACCTTATTAAGGTTGCAATCTAATAAGTTCATAAATTAAGTTTGGGTACTTCAATTATTATTATTTTTAAAAATCACGTATGAAATTGTAAATTTTATTTGAAGTTTGATATATTGTTTGTACAAGCAAATTTTCAGAATTGTGGCTTGTACAAATTGAACTTTGAATATATATATGTCTAAAGTTTAGATATATATAAAGTTTAGATATATATATTCCAAATTGAAATTAATTTTTCTAAAGTTTAAACTATTAATTTTCATTTATGTAAATTTTACCAAGCTTCTCTGGTACCATCTACTTATTTAAAATTCAATTTTCATACTTGAAATTCAAAGTCGACTTTCTTCAATGCGCAATAAACACATCAAGTGTGATTCATAAGTTTGGATGGTGTTATAATTTACTCCATCAAATTTTGTATAATGTTTTTTGATAAATTTTATTCAAGCATTATACTTCAATTAACTTACAATAAATTCGAAACATCCTATTGTACATTAACTAAGAAGAAGAAAAAACAAACGAAGATGGTTAGTTTTTTTTAAAAAAAAGTTTCATACATCGATGATCAATTAAATATTTTGAACCAACTGATTATAAAACAAGTAAAAATAAACGTATTTTAGTTATTATATAGATTTTTTATTCTACTTATTTTCCATACACATTACAAAAAGAGTCAAATGTATCTACATGTTCTTTTTAGATTAGAATATATTATAATTATAATAGCAAAATTCTGTAATTTAAGTATTAAACTGATAAAATGTTGTAAATAATTTAGATTATAGCAACATTAATAAATATATATTATTAATTCATTTAAAGTAGTAAATCTATTGTATTTAGTGAAATATTTACTGTCACATTAAATCCTCTTCTTCTTCTACAGTGTTCAAAGTTCAAATCACACTTCCAAAAGTTTCACTTCAATTCAAGATCCAATCTTTCACATTTCTCACAAATTGAAGAGTTTTTCTCAAATTTCTTCAAAAAAAGGTGAGTTTTTCAATGGCAAATTCATGGAGAAGAAACCAACAAATCAAGATCTTCACCCCCAAGAATCTCCTTCTCTTTTTCTTCACTTCTCTTCTCCTCCTTATCTTCCTCTATCTCACATCACAAACCCAACCCCACAATCCAAAACCCCTTAAATCCCTTAAAAATTCAATCTTTAATCTTCCAATAAAGCCTTTTGATTGTTACAATTCACCTCAAGCTTACCCTGTTATAGCTAGTGTAGTTGAAGGTGTGAAATACCCTTTTCTTTTTTCACTTTCAGATTTTGGGAATTTGCCTGAAAAACCTCATAAGAATATTCAGAGGGTACTTAAAGGAAAACCCTTTAGAAAGCCTGATATATCTGTGACTGTGCAAGAATTGTTGGAAAAGATGAAGGGTGAAAATGGGATTTTTTTGGATGTTGGAGCTAATGTAGGAATGGCTACTTTTGCTGCTGCTGTAATGGGGTTTAAAGTTTTGGCCTTTGAACCTGTTTTTGAGAATTTGCAGAAAATTTGTGAAGGTATTTACTTTAATAGAGTTGGAGAGTTAGTTGAGGTTTATGAAGCAGCTGCCTCAGATCATAATGGGAACATTACCTTTCACAAGGTAGTTTTCAATTCAATTTGGTGTATATGAGAATTTGGGGTTCATATTATTGCTCTCGTAGTTTCTTGTCCTTCGTTTTCGTTTTCTATTACTATCCGTTGTTTCTTGTATTGTTTTGTTGTAGTTTCCGTTCTGTTACTATTGCTATTTTTGTTATTATATGTTGTTTCTTGTACTTCCATTACTTTTTTTTGGGACTCTTTGGACTGTTTTTTGCTTGTCTTTGGTTTTTTTTTGGGGGAAGTTGTGGTCTATAGCTTGTTTTAGCAAAATTTGATAGTATAACTAGTTTGCTTAATAGAATTTGTGTAACTCAGACATATCATAGTTAAAGAACTGACCTGTATTATGCGATAACATTCATTGATTAACTGGTTAGAATTGATAAAGTTATATGAAATCATGAGTAGTTTTTCTTTGTTTGTATTGTCCTTTATCATTTTGGAGCTACACGAGATTAAAGTTTGAATGATGTTGTTTTTCTTGGTTTGAAAAGGGAAGTTTAAAAAAATCAAGAGAGTATGCCTTGTGTTCAGATTTATTTATTATGTTATTTGTTATTTTGTTGGCTACCCGCTAAATTTCTTCTGTTCATGTATTGTTTTTAGTTGGTTGGTAGACTCGACAATAGTGCAGTATCTGCCACCGGTGCCAAGTTGGCTTTTAAGTCAAATGAAGAGATTGAAGTTCAAGTAAAAACTATTCCTCTTGATGAGGTTATCCAAGAAACGGAGCGTGTACTACTGATAAAGATAGATGTTCAAGGTTGGGAGTATCATGTACTTAAGGGAGCATCAAAGTTATTGTCAAGGAAGAAAGGTGAAGCACCTTACCTAATCTACGAGGAAGATGAGCGATTGTTGCAAGCCAGCAATAGCAGCGCCAAGGAAATCCGGGAGTTTCTACACAGTGTGGGCTACAACCATTGCACTCAACATGGTACAGATGCACACTGCACAAAAACAGATTGACAAGGTTATCATCTACAAATAATCTTCTGTTACAACTCTGGAAGGAGCATCAATACTTAAAATTCTTAAAATTTCTGCTATACACCGATTTAAACAATCAACTATCATGTTTTTTTCGGTGTGATAAGCTTAGAATGATTGGTAATCGAACAAAATCTGATGCGCCAGTTGTTCAAAGTCGAGCTCTACTTTTTTCAGTTCGTGTGAATTGGAAGGCTGACTGATACCATGTTGAGGGGTTTATGACAATGCTAACTTTGCTGATAGGTTTGTGGTTGGGTAAATCAGAGAGGAGAAGAGAAGGTAGGAAAATTGATTTGTCTGTTTGATGACTTTTAGACAGTGGCAGGATGTTTTCTCCCACTTCTTGCTTTCTGGTTACCCTATATGTAATGTGTGCACAGGCTATTTATAATACTTTTTTTGTAGAGGTTGTTGCTTTGATCTGTGTTGTTCTCTTTGTTTCCATTGGTGAACTTGTTGATCATTAAGTACATCTAATATACTCCCTCCATTTCATTTTACTTGTCCATTTTACCAGAGTTTTATTACTTTTTTTTCTCGTACTACCTTTAGTATTAAATAACTATAGTCAAATATAGAGTTCGAAAGCATCATTAATGAGGTTAGTTTAGTATAGTACATCTCTAATTAAAGCTTTCTTAAAGGGGTCAAATAATATGAAACGGAGGGAGTAATTCCGTTAATGACTTCAATTTAGTGTATGGATGATGTCATGCTTTGATGGAGATTTCCTCCTACCAACTATCTCCTTCCTGTTTACAGACTTCTTTGAAACTGTGTGAATGATGCTCCCTAAGTATGCAGGTCAAATTACATTAATGATCCTGAGAAAAAGTTGATTAGTTGGTGTTTCAAGATAAACTTTCATTAATAGCATTTTTTCAACTTTTACTTCTTTGTTTAATGAGGTCAAATTTGTTGTTAGGTGAAGTCCTCTTAAACACTTAATTGCTTTTTCTCCCTCTGCTTTGTGTCATTAATTCACCTATACTTCTCTATTATGAGAGGCTACTTGCTATCAGCTACATTTTAAGTTGCTCGGACTTTCAATGTTTCTGCATTCGTGTCGGATCCTCTAAAAATTTACTGCTTTTTAAAGGATTCGACATGCACCTAACGACATTTTTTAAGAGTCTGAGCAATATAGGCTACATTTAGTATGCATAAGAGGAGGAAAGAGAGTGTGATTGAGGCTTCTACACAGAGCCTTTACATTTTTGTTTTTGGATAATCACGGTGTCCAAGCCTACTTGCACACATCTTGACGAACTCCACGGGCTCCCACCAACACAAATACCAGGTAACTCTATCTACCAAGCTAAAGAGTCTTAACATTTTCATAAGTTACTAGCTCATTAGTTGGATAGAGCACAGACAGAAATTACAGCATTGTAAGGAACTCAACGGCGCGTGTTAGAAGGTAAGAACGTAGATTCTGTCCTCATTATTAAGAACAGACATGTTTGGCCAGGGAATGGATTCGTGAAGCAATATAATCAACTTGGTTATCTGAAACCAGGAACAGACTTGACAAGTTTCAAGGTAAAACTCTCGGTTGAAACAATTTGAGGTAGCTATAAAACTCAATACTAACAGTTGATCATTTCCTAGAATCTTGCAATGCAGTTGTTCAAGTTCTATAAAGTGCCTCAATAACTGGTGTAAGTTAACACCGTAAGCACGTACTAGTATGGATAGTTTTTTTAGTCGTTAGAGGTAATGTGCTCATAAAAGTTGATCATGGCCTCTGTATCATAAGTCTGTACATCTTTGGGTGCTGACTTTGAAACCTCATCATATCAGCACCTCCATCTTGACTTGATATCCCCACAAGGTCAAGGCTTCATTGTCAGCGATATTCCCCTTTTCCCCCAGTGGTAGTAGCCTCGTCCTCTTGACTTTGATATGTCACGAAAACTACAACAGTTAGTGGATGATCACCTTTTGCTTATAAAGGACCGGTACATCTCATATGTATGAAAAAGGAAGCAAGCTGTTAGCTAAATTTTAAAGCTGTTTACTTCTGCCCTCTATGTGTAACCTGCAGAATCTTCAATTTGCCTACAATGATGCTTCAACATTGAACTCTTGCTACTTTCTCCTAGCCATTTCCACTTATAGCTAAAACCATTTCTTTAACGTGGTGCCTAGATTAGCTTGCACACTCCGACTTATCCACCAGGTACCTTCTAACTCCAACTAGTACAGAGGGGTACCTTAACTCCAACCAGCACAGATACAGAGTAATTGCCCTCTCAATAGGCAGATTAACTTATCAAGATATTCACTCCATCTCTTCCAGATACATGCAATGAACATTGCTTCAACTCATGTTTTTTTTTCAGATATCAATAAGCATAGAAGAGGATGCCACCAGGCCTTTGGTTCAATCATCAATGGTAACTGCCCAACGCATCATGTGAAGGTTAGACGGTTAGACACATGTCACGAGAACTCTGCTACGAATCATTTGAGTAGAGGTGGATATAGTGGCAGGCTAATTATCCATCGAGTTTTGAACCATTTAAAAAAAAAAAAAAAGATGACACGTATATACATGCAATAAGTATTGCTTCAACTCGTGCTTTTTTTTTCCAGATACCAATAAGAGGATGCCAATGGTAAACATGCAACATATAATGTGTAGGTTAGACACACGTCACTAGAATTCTGCAATGAACTAAAAAAAAGCATAATATTGAGAATGATAGAGTGAAGGATATAATGATCCACCGAGTTTCAAGTTAATTGACCATCTGAAATTTCTCGATTATCAAGGGTAAATAGATAAATATATAAACATGAAAAAGATGTACATTGATAAATTACATCTAAGTAAATGTAGTAATTGAGGTTAATATATCAAATACCTTTTGTAATCTTGACCATAAAACTCATACTGAAAATTAGTTGTTCCTAACTTTCATTTCTCCCCCATAGTTGAATATATATAGTTGCTTGTTTTACTCTTTACATGTTCTATTTGTAAATATCAGTCAAAATACATTAATGAACTTCACAAGAAACTGTCTTTTAAGTTCTCACTTGTGACTCAAATAAGACAACCTTCAAGTTCCAAGAAGTACTTTTAAGATGCTTGCAAAAATTTACTGGGAAAAAGTGCACTTTTATTGTTGACAAACGCTAATTGTTTCATGCAATAACAATAACAAATTCGGTATAGTCTCGTAACTGGAATCTGAAAAAAAAAAGGTAAAGTATATAGATTTTATTTCTACCATATGAAGTTAAAGAGATTAGTTTTGATAAATCGTCATCTATAATTATGATTAGAAGAAAAAAAAAGATAGCTCCTAATTTTGTGTTGACGACACTAAAAAAGCAAACTGTCAGACTTCTTGTGCAAGGATTGACTTTTACTTATTTTCATGTAGAGGTGTCAAATGGACGGCATGTATTATATCTGGACTAATTAAAATAGACGAATTAATAAAGGGATGGGGTCATACTATACTTAAGGTGTGTTTAGTACGACAGAAAATATTTTCTTTAAAAATAAACTAGTTTTTTAAATTTATTTTTAATATTTAATAAATAAATAAATATATATATTATTCTAAAAATACTTATATGTAATCAAAGAAACAATATATATTTATATTTTATGTCAAAATATAACTCCAGTTGAACCCATAAAAAAAGGTTGCATCTGCCTCTTAGTTAACCTTTCCCATTAAAGAGGCTGCATCCTTATTTGCTCTTTGATTTAATTTAATAGTATTTCTTTTCATCATATTAATTTCTCTTCATATTTATTAAATAACAAGGATAAAGGTGAAAAAAAAATTGTTTCGAATTATTTATCATATTTATATTTTACATATTTGTTAAAAAATTAATCAATCCTTAGTTATGTCTTAGATATAAGGAAAACGATGAAAATAAATCCTTCCATCTTAAATTATTTGTAATTTGTTTTACAAATTTCTTTATAAAATATTACAGTAATTAAAATGGTTTTGACTATCTTACCCTTATCTATGTCGTAAGATAGAACAATTACTATCAAGGGTAAAATGAAAAAATGATAATTAATTTGATGTTGAACCTCTAAAATGACAAATAATTTGAAATAATTATTTTAAAAAATTACGATAAATAATTTGAAAACGAAAGAAGTAATTAATATATCTTAATTTTCTAAAATTACAACTATTTCCTTTGAACCATTTTACTTGTCATATTTTTTATTTACCCTCTCCATAAAAAAAAAGCCAATGTATTTTGACTATCACACCTTTATATTATTATCTTTAAACATTTAACAAGTTTATCTCTTCTCAATAAACATTCTCATTTTAATCTCTCTTCAATAAATAAAAGATCTTTTAGTAATCACAATGTTAATTAGACAATGTCTTTTTAAAATAATTATTATCAAGAGCAAAATATAAAGAACGTACTCAACTAGATCAGACCATTGATTATTAGCAAAGAATGATTAGTCAGATACATATTGTATATGAAATATTTTGGACCAACTATTTTCAGTAAGCAATAAGAACGACAACTAAAATAAACGACGGAGTTAGATATTTTATACAACTACTTCTTTCCTTGGTAGGATAAAGGTTATATCAGTCATTTCCTTGTAGATATTTAGAACAAGGAAAGAGAGTGAGACCAAAAAAAAGAATGAGCCTTATCTAGTAACCTGAGGTTACATGTTTTTGTTAAAACCAACACAATTTTAGCAAATTCTCTGATTAAATTCAAAAAAGAAAGTGAAATTCAACTGTCGTAATGGCAAATTCTGTGTGTTTCACCCCTTTAGCTTCATTGAACACTTTCAATAAACCAGGTATATATGTATACTCAATTTCTCTTTGTTCTTGTAGCTGTTTTTATGCCTTTTTTGGTTTAGGGGTGCTTGTGTTTTTAGTGAATTAGTTGATGTTTAGGCCTTTTTATGGTTTCTTGGTTCAATTTTGTTTGTGGGTCTGCAATTGTGTGTGGAGCATAATGTGTTTTGGTTTTAAAGATTCAATTTTTTTTTCCACAAGAGTGGTAAGCACCTTTTTGTACGAGGTTTTGGGTTCGAGCTCGGGTATGAAGTCCCTTTTGTTAGGGAACTCTTTATTATCCAATTTGGGACATCCCAGCATGAATGCTGTAGTCGGGCTTCAATGCGAATACCAGAGACTTAGTGGGAACCAATAAAAAAGATTCAATTTTTAAAACAAATTTGAGAACCTTTTCAGAAACAACTACATCCACTGTCTTAATTGTTAATTATCTGTTTCATCCATTTAGCTTCTTTTAATTCTGTCAATAAACCAGGTATGTTTTCCAAGTTCTATTTGTTCTTGTAGTTTTAATGTCTTTTTGCTTGGTGGTAGCTATGTTTTATTTGTCAATTCTTGATGTCTATGGCTTTTCATGTTTTCTTGGTTTAGTTTTGTTTGTGGGTCTTCAACTATGTGTAGAACATAACGTGTTTGGTTTTAAAGATTCAATCTTTTTACCAACAAGGGGGTGTCGTGGAGTGGTAAGAGTTCTTTCAAACTTAACCAGAGGTTTTGGGACCTCTCGGGTTCGAGCGCGAGGTGTGAGTCATCTTTGTTAGGGAGCATTTTATCCCCAAAGTGGGACTTCCGGATGCAAATCCGGATTTAGTTGGGCCGAATAGGGGTACGGGACATCAGGTGGGAACAACAGCGTACCCATTGTGGTCTCACAAAGTGGGGGTGGGAAAAAAAATGATTCAATATTTTTAATTTGTGAACCGTTTTAGGTACAACTAAATTCATTGTCTTAACGGAAAACTCTCTTATGTTTCACACCTCTAGCTTCCTTCAACTCTGTCAATAAACCAGGTATAATTCCAGTTTCTATTTATTCTTGTACTCTTTTCCACATTTTTGCTTAATGAGTAGTTATGTATTTTGTCAATTACTTGATGCATAGGCCTTTTCATGCTTTCTCGGGTCATTTCTTGTTTGTGAGTCTGCAACTGTGTGTAGAATGTAAACGTGTTTGGTGTTAAAGATCCAATCTTTTTCAGAACCTTTTATGTAGTTGTGATTTTATATTCTTGTCAGGTTTAATTAATGGAAATGGGAATTGCGCTGGAAGAAAGATTCAATTGATCAAAGATGTTACCTTCAACTCCAAGAGTAACTTAAGAGTCGTAGAAGTGAAGGTAATTTTGGACTTCCATGGATAGATATTAGTGCAAAGTTACAATTACATGTGCTCAAATCAATAAACAATGGCTACATTTGTTTACTTTTGTGCTTAGACACAGTGGCGGATGGAACGTAAACTCAATGAGTTCAATTGTGCAGTATTTCTGACATGGAGCACGAAAAATCACTAAAATTTTAAATATATGTGGTAGCATCTGCATCATATTATATTCATAACTCTATTTTATGTGAAACGGGATCAAGCAGCATAATTCCAAATCCTAATGAGAATCTCTTTGCCGTTTCTCATTTCTTATAAATGAATAGGGAAGTCCGTAAAGATGGAAATTCTAAGCTTAATGTTATCTGTTATCACAAGGGCTTACTTGAGTTCTATAGAAACTTCAGTTTGCTCCAGAAATTTCCTTTCACCTCTTTTATGATCTAACTATACCATATTTGCTTCTCTTTCCTTGAGTTGTCTGTATCTTGCCAGAGCTTAACACTGAACTCTTTTTTCTAGGCCGCTGACAGTGATAAAGAAACAAAAGTAAGGAGCATAGTCTGTCAAAAGTGTGAGGGAAATGGTAAGTCATTGATGCATATTTGATAGATTTTGAATTCTCACTCGTCATTAATGATAAGGTTCAGTGGACTTCTCTCGACAAACACACTCCTACATTTTGAACTCCAAGTGACTAATAAGTATTTCTTAATATTGTAATTATGTCTTTCTGTTTAGTGGATGTTCATTGCATTGCAGCAATGGAGATTATATTCAATTCAGTTTACATGCTAACTGTTGCATCAGGTTCAATGAATTCTCATGAAGGAAGCGGCATTTTCCGGAGAACTGCTATATGTTTATCAGCATAATGTCTATTTTACCTTTTGCTAGGATTTCTTTCCTTGAAATGATTATATGAATCAAGTAGTAATTTGGCTCTTGCTGTTGACCGCTTGATTGGAGAACACCTCTTTTACGAACTTATCTCAAATTATTCATCAAAGTTATGTGAGAATTACGATGCGTTTGAGTGAAAAGTGTCTAGTTCCAAGACTTTTGCTAATGCTGCACTCTTGCTGATTATTCATTGTGTTACATACTTATTACGGTATCGAATTTCCAATTCATCAGAAATAGATACATACATATTGCATACATAGACCTTAAATAATCCAATTTCAACTTGGAATTAGTTTACAACGTTCTGTTTCTTATACACTGTATCGTTCTCAGGTGCAGTGGCGTGCTCACAATGTAAAGGCGTTGGGGTTAACTCCGTTGATCATTTCAACGGGCGGTTTAAAGCCGGTGGACTGTGTTGGCTATGCAGGTACTTGTCCTATATCACTTGTGCTTTTTGGTTTCATATTGGTATTCAGTTCCTAAGTAAGTTAACAAAAATGCTGCAATGCCATGTTTTCATGTTTGCACTTCTTTTAATGCAGAGGTAAAAAAGATATATTGTGTGGCGACTGCAATGGAGCTGGATTTCTTGGTGGATTTATGAGTACGTTCGATGAGTAGACTTCAGATGCACTGGTCTTGAGTAGACTCGGGAGGCAGGTAGAGGCAGGTTTCAGAGGCAGATCCAGAATTTAAACTTGATGAGTTCAGTTTCTAAAATTCTCAGTATTGAACTCATTGTACTTTTGATATTATGATTTCATAATTTGATATTTGTTTAAACTTTACCTTCTCTTTTCACATATATTTATTCATGATTCGTGTAAAAAGTAATGAGTTCAGTTGAATCTGTAGAAGCTATGCTCCATCCGGCCCCAAGTAGGTTGTCGCCATTGACGCCAAGAATAGCACAAGGGCTTCATTATGAGAACAAGCACATAGAAAGACTATTTGCACAGAAAAATGTCAAATCAGCCATGGGAGAGAGTGAATGCAGGAAAACTCTTTACCTTGAGCTTAAACATCCTCCCAACATCAAATTCAAATTTGTCAATAACATACTCGATGTAATTTCACGCGTACCATCTAAAGAAGGTAGGTTATACACGCGGCTGAAAACATTTTAAAAATTCACTCTTTTAACTTTTAAAAATGCAGCTATTATGTTACTTTTTAAGAGTGACACCTGTATGAAAGCCCCACACCTCCACCGCCGTTGGATGTCAACTCCCAAGCCTCGGCTAGTTTTTGGGGTTGAGTTAAGCTTAAGTGTCATATCTTTACATATCGTACACCCCTCAAATGAAAAAAGATAAACACTCTTCCCCGACACTTAAAGTAGCATAAGCATTATTTTACCTTACTCGTAGCCTATTTGGCCAACCTTCTAAAATCAACTCTTTCTGTGAAGTCAACTCTTTCTTTTTTATTTGTATAAACTTTAATTACTTGGATAACATGATTGCAGACACCATATAATAATAATACATATAACATCCATGTGACATAATATTATATTTCTTTGGTTGAAGTTATCAATCTAATTTTCTAAAGCCAAGTCTTCTTTCCTTTAAATAATAATAATTTAGTGAAATGGTCTCTTCAGATAGCAGGAAATAATTCTATGTAAATTCAATTAACTTTGTCTAGACCATGTATTTATATTCATCAAATGTATAAGAATTTTTAGCTCGGAATCCAGTCCACTTATCCAGTTATTATTGTATATTAACTTGACATGAACTTAAAATCCTAAATCCAACACAAAAACAGCTAATTTAAGTGGCTTATAATATATTAACACCCATGTGGGAGCACTTCTGCATGTACTGATCTTCATTTGTTGAATAACAATTGATTATTTATTCATATTTTTTGTTTGTTGTATTCTTTTCTCTAAGTATTATAGCAGTACATGCTTCTCTTTTGCAGTAGCTGGCTACATTTCAGCACTAGTCCTGTTTTCCTTTATCTGTCATTTGAAGGTTAGTTGGTGTTCTTGTCATTTTATTACTTGAAAACTTTGTAAATGTTGTCGAACCATGCATTTTTGGAGGATCTGACACACTTGACAATAGTTTTGAAGAGTTTGAGCAACAGTCAAGTACAAGTATAAGTTTTAGCTCCTTGCACGAGTACGAATCTAATTTTAGGATGAATCTGAACTTCTGGAAAATCCATAAATGTGGAGATCAAACTAGTTATATCTAGATTTCTACAATCGTTGAAGATCTATTTTATTTTATTTTTAATTTGTGAATTATACGTCAAAGTCAATATTCGTAGTTCAATTTTTGAATCAGGTGGAATGCTAGCTGGGATGTAACACAAGTATTTGTTGTAGTTCAATATTTATTTGCTGTTCATTTCTTTGATATTTGTCGAAACTTATTCTAGATCTATCACAATACCTCATAACTCATTTGTTGCACGATAAGAGTTTAGTACCTGCGGCCATGGGTGTAGCCTACAATATATGAGAGGAGAATCATGAGGTATCAGGTTCAAATTCCTTAGGAGACAATAATTACGTGATTTACTTTCATCTGTCTAAACCTTGATGGATAGAATAACGTAGTACCTGTTGGTGGGAGGTAACAGGTTTCCTCTAGAATTAGTCGAAGTATGCGCAAGCTGGCGACCGCGGTTATTGCATCAATGCACATAAGCTAAGTGATTGAGAATTTGAGATAGCAATGACTGAAAATTTACCTGATTTCTCTGCTTTCAGGTGATAATTTGAATACAACAGATATGGCTTATGCTAGTGTTGCTTCTCTTCTAAACACAATACAACTACTCTTGACATCTGATTCACAAATGCGTTCTCAAATTTGTGACCACAGAGAAGAATTTCACGCTCTTAGTGAAAAAGTTAGTTCCCTGGAAATATTTCTCAAGAAATTTGAGAAAAGCAATGTTTCTAGGGAAATGACAGATCTGGAAGCACAAATAAAAGAAGTTGCGGATGGTGTTGAAATTACAATTCAACTGCGATTAACAGATATCATAATGGCGAAGAATGAAATGCAGAAGAAGAAGGCACGCGAGATGCTTTGTGATAGTCTAAAACAAGTAGCAGAGGAGATTGATCGCGTACAGAAAGAGTCTACGAAGATTCAATATAAAGCCAAGCAATCATTGGAGGAATATTTTGTTCAAGCTTCAAGTTCAGCAAAAGTTATTCTGAATGGTAAGAACAATATGGTGGGACGTCGTGATGAAAGGGAAAAGATGATGACAGAACTAACTAGAGGTTTCTCTGGTGTACTCAAAGTTATCCCGATTGTTGGGATGGGAGGCATTGGTAAAACAACTTTAGCAAAAGAAGTTTTCAATGATGCATTCATTCGATCTCATTTTGACGTTCGTGCATGGGCGACTATATCTCAAGAACATAATGTAAAAGATATCTTGGTAAGCCTTTTGCACTCTACAAAAGAAAAGGATGACACGGTTAACACGGAAGATGAGTCAAAGCTAGCAGACATGCTACAAAAAAGTTTAAAGAGTCGGAGATACTTAATTGTATTGGATGACATGTGGAGCGATAAAGCGTGGGATGATGTGAGACTATGCTTTCCAAGTGAAAACAATGGGAGTCGAATATTGTTGACTACCCGTAACACTGAGGTAGCTTGTTCTGCTGGAGTGCTGGTACAAAGAATATCTCTCTGCCGATTGGTCTCATGGGTCCAGTTGAGAGTTGGGACCTTTTTAAAAGTGCTGCATTTGTAAATGAAGCATTACCATCTGAATTTGAGACTGTTGGGAAGCAAATTGTGGACCAATGTCAAGGGTTACCGCTAACTATTGTCGTGGTTGCTGGACTTTGGTCCAAATCTAAAAGGACAATAGAAGTTTGGGGAAGTGTTGCTAAAGATGTCAAGTCATTTGTCACAAATGATCCAGATGAACAATGTTTACATGTGCTTGGTTTGAGTTACAACCACTTGACGAGTGACCTAAAACCATGCCTTCTGTATTTTGGAATTTTTCCGGAAGACAGTGAGGTGTCGGTGAAGAGATTGGTGAGATTGTGGATTGCTGAGGGGTTCCTAAAGTTTGAAAAAGACTTGGAAGGAGTGGCTGAGAAGTGTTTGCAAGATCTTATTGATAGATGTCTAGTTCTTGTCAGCGAAAAAAGTTTGGATGAAACAAGAGTTAGATATTGTAAGGTTCATAATCTAATATATGAGCTATGTTTGAGAGAAGCTCAAAGGCAAAGCCTTTTTGTCATGAATGACATTGTATATGTTGATTATGATGGAGATTATAATTTGGATGAAGATGATGATTGGGATGAATATCATAACTTGGATGAAGATAAATATGATTATGTTGACGAAGATGACGATGATGATTTGGATGATGATGAAGATGATTCGGATGTTGATGAAAATGATTTAGTGTCAGAAGATGAAGATGATAAAATGCTGTTTAAGAAAAATTCCGTCCATTTAAGCGACAGATTAAAGAAGGTAAACGTGGCTTTGGTAGTTATAGGACCCTTCTTACACCGGGACATCATCATTTGATAAGGAGGAAGACAGATGATGCTGATAACAATCTCTTGAAACAAACTCGTTCTATTTTCTTTAATAACAGTTATTCTGGAACTTTTAGTCTCAAATCAAAGCTTTTTCATTTCAGTTTACTCAGAATCTTGGACTTGAGTTTCGTACTGCTTGAACGATTTCCTTTCCAGATACTATGCCTTGTTTGGTTGAGGTACCTTGAATTGTTAGGAGATTTTGACATACCAACAGATATTTGTAGGTTATGGAATCTCCAAACATTCATTGTTGATGGTAGTCCAGGTGACTTTGGCATCTATCCAAAAGAAATTTGGGAACTAACGCAATTAAGGCACCTTGAACTGACTTCATTTCTTTTGCCGAATAGTCCAACTGTATCCGTTGATGGACAGAGGTACTTGGGACTTCCAAATATACACACTATTTTGGGCTTGTCTCATGGTTGTTGCACAAAAGAGGTCATTTCAGGTATTCGGAATGTTAGAAAGTTAAAAGTTGAAGGAGATAATAATGACTATGAAGGTTTTCAAGAATCTAGACTTTTCAACAATCTCGTCCATCTACAACATCTTGAAACATTGAGTGTTACTATTTACGCTGATCTTGAGGATTCCGTACCCGTGACCATTCCAAGTGCAAAAGCTTTTCCAGCAACACTCAAGAAGTTGAAGCTGTACGGAACTGGTCTAAGGTGGGACGACTTGAATATAGTAGGTGAATTGCCTAACCTTGAGGTGCTGAAGCTGATATTTGATGCTGTAGGCGAAGAATGGTATCCGATTTCAGGAGGATTTTCTCGCTTGAAGATTCTACTTCTTAAACAACAGTCATCTCAAGTACTGGAACATCACAAATGACAATTTTCCTGTCCTCGAGCGTCTCATGATTATAGATTGCACTGAGTTGGAAGAGATACCAATTGAGTTTTCAGAAACCAGCTCACTGAAACTAATTGAGTTAAAGGACTGTAAGCCCCATCTCGAGGCTTCTGCCACAAGAATTCAACAAGAACAAGAAGACATCGGAAATAATCCAGTGGATGTTCGTATCTCATGTAAGTACATATTTCTTAAGGTTACTGAATTTTATTCCATTCCACCTCACACCTGTCCTCCTGTGGCTGATCTAAGATATCTGTGGTTCTATAAACGTATAACTGACCGTTGATGCTGTTGACTATACCTTATTTATCGACACTAGATCAGGGATCTCCCCCAAAATCAGGGATCTCCCATTATGGCTAACGGTCATTAGCTTGAAATCAGTAGATAATTAGGACTCTATTACTTGTATAAATATCTTGTAAATCCTACAGTTTTATTATTCAATAAACAGATCACAATTCTTTTATACTCTAATTGTTTTGGATCTCTATCGTTATTCAACTGCATCTTTCCTATACGACTAATGATCAAAAGCATAACTGAAATCCGCCTTTGGATGCTTGTGAGTTGTGACTTGTGTAAAACTACTACTGACCTTTTGTGTTTCTTTCCTACAGCTAAAGTGCGGGAGTGGCGTTTGAGTCAGACTGACATTAGCTAAGGAGTACTTCAAGAGAAGAAGGATTGAAGTTGAAGGATTTCATTTTCATATTGTTTAAACTTTAAATTTGCCATTACATTACTATGTTTTAGCATTATTCTGTGGCTTCCAAAGAGATGTAATTTCTCTAAATTTTCAATAATAGGGCATCTCTTTCTGAACTATTTTTCTTGAGTCGAGGTCTATCGGAAACAGTCTCTCTAACTTTGAGGTAGTTTGTGTATGCTCTACCCTCCCCAGACCCCAGTTAATGGGACTATACTGCTTTATGTTGTTGTTGTTTTAATAATACTATGTACATACATGTGTATTCCTTTGTTAAACGTTCAGTGAAAATTTTCAAGTAATTTTACATATACTAATTTTTGGGAACGTGCGTTACACGTTTATCTCAAAACTTAATATAAGTTTTGTAATATTCTATTTTTGGTTTCTAATTTCTTGATTGACACACTTCCCTAGGTGGAATTATTGGAGTTATCACCTCTCTATAAAGTCAACTCTTCTTATCCCATCTCTATAAAGTCAACTTCTTTTTTTTTCTCTTTATATAGAACTTACTTGGTAATTTTGATTGCAGACAACATTTCAACTTTTCGCCATTACAGGTATGCCATATCTCCAATCTCTTTTCTCGATTAAGGCAAATTCAGAATTTGAAGTTTATCGTTGTATGTAATCTTAAGTTAATATACAACAATGTTTAACTTGGTTGATAGGTAAATTTTTTTGTCATTGAGCCGTGGATCTATTGAAAACAGTCTCTCTACCTCACTTCTGGAATAGAGGTAAGGTCTGCATACACTCTTACCTCCTCAGACTTCACTCTGTGGGACTACACTGCATATGTTGTTGTTGTTGGTTGATAGGTAAAATATTTCATCAATATTGTTAATTTGCTATTGAAAGGTTAATTAGAGGCGAATTTAAGGTTTGAAGTTAAATATTTATAGATATTTAGTAGGATTTCTTCTTAAAATTTCTCAGTTTGCGTAGTTTCATGAACCTGTAGGTTGTGCTCTAGATCCGCTCTTGTCATTTGATTGAACTAGAAAAATAAAATAAAAATGAATTTTTGTAGCTATGTATAATCCTCTTCAGAGGCGTATTTAGAGGGGGTGCCGTGGGTTCACGTGAACGCATGCTCCCCTCTCTAGATCATATATAGTAGTGTTTTATTTCTAAAAAAATATTTAAATATAGATGTGTGAATCCATGTTCAAAGTATCATATAATAATGCGATAATAATTGGGTGCATTTCTCTACGTCAGAGATAGAAATTTAAATCTTATATTTGTCTTGTCTCTTTGAGTAACACTTTTCCAAGTAGTTATCAGTTACACTTTTGTCGTTTCAACTAATTTTTCTTTTGTTTTTTTCCTTTATTCTTTCAAAATTTTCAAGTGTGTTACATTGAGAATTACCTAAAAAAATTTAGCATTGTTAAATTTTTTATATAATTACATCAAATGTATATATTAAAATTTAAACTAGTAGTATTATATATTTTGGACCTATAATTTTTAAACTTTAATGGTTCATCTTACGAACTAAAAGTCAAATCGATCAAATTTATATTTAAGATATATTTTTTCGTAATTGTGCACCCATCTAATCGAAATTCTGGATACGCCTCTGATTATTCCTCTTCCGAGGTAATGATACGAATCCACTTTGTTACTGACATTTGTTGCTCGGATCTTTCAAAATATAGTTGGTGAGGCACTAATTTTTGAGGATCTACGTACACTTTGTTCTCCCCAGGCCTCACTTTGTAGGATTAAACTATGTATGTTGTTGTTGTTATTGTTCTTTTCACAACTTCGCAAATCGTGTTATTGTAACACTACTGTCCTACAACTTGCAGCTTTCAAGTCCTATGGCCTATGCAAGTATAGCATCTCTTATAAGAACAATGGAACTGCTGTTGACGTCCGATTCACCAATGTTATCCCTTACTTTTGACCACAGAGAAGAAATCATAGAGCTTCATAAAAAAGTCAGTTCTATAGAAGCATTTCTCAAGAACTCTGAGAAACAAATCCATAATCATATGGCAATGACAGAGCTGGAAGCGCGGATAAAAGGATTTGCTAATGTCGTTGAAGACAAAATTGAATTTGGACTAAGAGAAGCTATGATAGCAGAAGATGAAATGCAGAGAGGTAAAGCACATGAGAAACTTCGTGAGAGCTTGCAACGAGTAGCAAAGGACATTGACCGTGTTCAAGAAGAGTCGCAAAAGATTCAACAACATAAAGGTAGCCAAGCATCAACGTTGTCCTTGTTACGAGATACAAGTAGCTCAGAAATATTACCTAATCTGGATGTTTCGAACAATATGGTGGGACGTGACAAGGAAAAGAAAAGGATGCTTGAAGAACTCAGAGGAGGCTCTAAAGATGAACTAAAAGTCATCCCAATTGTTGGGATGGGTGGCATTGGTAAGACAACTTTAGCAAAACAAGTCTTCAACCATCCTTCGATTAAGTCTCGTTTTGATGTTCGTGCTTGGGCTACTATATCTAAAGAATACAATGTGAAAGAAATCCTGCTAAGTCTTCTACAGTCAATAATCAATATCGATGACAAAGTCTACAGCAGAGATGAGGATGAGCTAGCAGACCTACTACAGAAAAAATTGAAATGTAGGAGGTATCTTATTGTCATAGATGACATATGGAGCAATAAAGCATGGGATGACACAAAACAATGTTTTCCAATTGATAATAATGGAAGTCGAATATTGTTGACTACCCGTCATACTGAGGTAGCTATTAATGCTAGCTCAAGTAATCTTCTTTTAAAGATGAATCTCATGAATTCAGATGAGAGTTGGAACCTTTTTAAGAGCAAGGCGTTTGCAAATGAAAGCTTCCCGCCTGAACTACAGACCATAGGTGAGAAAATTGCAAGCAAATGTCAAGGGTTACCACTAACGATTGTCGTGGTTGCTGGTCTTCTCTCCAAATCAAAGAGAACAAAAGAAGAATGGGAGAATGTTGCTGAGAATATTAAGTCGTTTGTAACGAAAGATCCTGATGAACAATGTCTACGTGTGCTCGGATTGAGTTACAACTACTTGCCTAATGACTTAAAAGCATGCCTTCTGTATTTTGGAATATTTCCAGAAGACAGTGAAATTTCAGTGAAGAGATTGGTGAGATTATGGATTGCTGAGGGGTTCTTGAAGCTGGAGGGTGACTTGGAAGAAGAGGCTAAAAACCGTTTGCAGGATCTCGTGGATAGATGTCTAGTTTTAGTTAGCAAAAGAAGTGCAGATGGAAGAAAAATCAAGACATGTAGGATTCATGATCTGGTCCATGAGTTATGCTTGAGAGAAGCACAAAGCCAAAACTTTTTGTTTATCAGAAATGATAAAACAGGATCCGTTCCTCGTGTGGGATGTCAATGGATTAGCATACAGAAAAGTCAACAAACTGATGATGTAATACTTGAATTATAATCAAGTTCTTATACAGAAAAGTCAACAAACTTATGTTGAGTTTCAGGATGAGCATTGGTTTAGGTCCCTTACACATAAACTTTGCTGGTTGATTAGGACGCCTACCGATGATGATAAGAGTCCCTTGAGAAGAATTCGATCAATTTTCCTGTTTGCTGCACCTTCTTTCAGTAACAATTCCAATTTAGAGCTTGGTCATTTGAATTTAATCAGAGTCTTGGACTTGAGTTCAATGTTCTTCTCAAGCTTTCCCCTGCAGATACTTAGTCTCTTTTTGTTGAGGTACCTATCCTTTTCGACTCGTAATTCTTTTGGCATACCTGGAGGACTTTGCAGATTACTGAATCTACAAACATTCATCGTTCGAGGGCCAGTTATCTCATTTATTAAGTTCCCGGAACTAATTTGGGAAACAACACAATTAAGGCACCTGAAACTCAGGAATTTTTATTTGCCAGATCCTCCAAGTTCATCCATTGATGGAGAGAGGAACTTGTTTTGGCCAAACATACAGTCTGTTTCGGGCTTGATTCCTTATTGTTGCACTAAGAAGATCCTTTCAAGGTTTCAAAACATTAAGAAATTATGTATTCGGGGGCACGTGTATGACTATGGAGTGCACGAAGAAGTTATGGACCTCCGTCATCTTGTTGATCTGCATCAGCTAGAAACATTGAGTGTTAAAGTTGATCGTTATCAGGTAAGTCACGGGAGTTCAAGATTCCATAAATCGCCTGTTTTACATTTTCCAATAAAGTTGAAGAAGTTAAAACTGGTCGGAACTTGTCTATCATGGGAGGAGTTGAACATCATAGGGCAATGGCCTAACCTTGAGGTGTTGAAGCTGAAACCAAATGCTTGTCATGGCCTAGAATGGCGTCCAATTGAAGGAAGATTTCCACAGTTGAAGTTTTTGCTAATTGAAGGTACAAATCTGAAATGTTGGAAAGCCACAAATGATCATTTCCCTGCTCTTGAGCATCTAGTGATCAGACATTGCTTTCATTTGGAGGAGATCCCTATTGAGTTTGCAGATATTTACTCGCTACAACTAATCGAGTTACAGAACTGTAGTGCAAAACTCGTGGCTTCTGCTGGACGAATTCAAGAGGAGCAAGAATCCCTAGGAAGCAAAGCTGTGGATGTTCGTTCCTACAACGATCCAGGTTAGTACAATAATTGCCTTTGAAACTTAAATTTTTTTTGAAGTTATATATTAAAGAGTTGATGGTCAAAAACGCACCTAAAGTATCCCCATTTTTCGAGTTTCATATATGAACTATCAGATATGTGAGTTTCCTCCCTGAACTATCAGTTGTTCCATTTTCCTATCTGAAACATCCCCATCATTCAGGTAGGAAAAGGAAAGCACATGAGAAACTTCGTGAGAGCTTGCAACGAGTAGCAAAGGACATTGACCGTGTTCAAGAAGAGTCGCAAAAGATTCAACAACATAAAGGTAGCCAAGCATCAACGTTGTCCTTGTTACGAGATACAAGTAGCTCAGAAATATTACCTAATCTGGATGTTTCGAACAATATGGTGGGACGTGACAAGGAAAAGAAAAGGATGCTTGAAGAACTCAGAGGAGGCTCTAAAGATGAACTAAAAGTCATCCCAATTGTTGGGATGGGTGGCATTGGTAAGACAACTTTAGCAAAACAAGTCTTCAACCATCCTTCGATTAAGTCTCGTTTTGATGTTCGTGCTTGGGCTACTATATCTAAAGAATACAATGTGAAAGAAATCCTGCTAAGTCTTCTACAGTCAATAATCAATATCGATGACAAAGTCTACAGCAGAGATGAGGATGAGCTAGCAGACCTACTACAGAAAAAATTGAAATGTAGGAGGTATCTTATTGTCATAGATGACATATGGAGCAATAAAGCATGGGATGACACAAAACAATGTTTTCCAATTGATAATAATGGAAGTCGAATATTGTTGACTACCCGTCATACTGAGGTAGCTATTAATGCTAGCTCAAGTAATCTTCTTTTAAAGATGAATCTCATGAATTCAGATGAGAGTTGGAACCTTTTTAAGAGCAAGGCGTTTGCAAATGAAAGCTTCCCGCCTGAACTACAGACCATAGGTGAGAAAATTGCAAGCAAATGTCAAGGGTTACCACTAACGATTGTCGTGGTTGCTGGTCTTCTCTCCAAATCAAAGAGAACAAAAGAAGAATGGGAGAATGTTGCTGAGAATATTAAGTCGTTTGTAACGAAAGATCCTGATGAACAATGTCTACGTGTGCTCGGATTGAGTTACAACTACTTGCCTAATGACTTAAAAGCATGCCTTCTGTATTTTGGAATATTTCCAGAAGACAGTGAAATTTCAGTGAAGAGATTGGTGAGATTATGGATTGCTGAGGGGTTCTTGAAGCTGGAGGGTGACTTGGAAGAAGAGGCTAAAAACCGTTTGCAGGATCTCGTGGATAGATGTCTAGTTTTAGTTAGCAAAAGAAGTGCAGATGGAAGAAAAATCAAGACATGTAGGATTCATGATCTGGTCCATGAGTTATGCTTGAGAGAAGCACAAAGCCAAAACTTTTTGTTTATCAGAAATGATAAAACAGGATCCGTTCCTCGTGTGGGATGTCAATGGATTAGCATACAGAAAAGTCAACAAACTGATGTTGAGTTTCAGGATGAGCATTGGTTTAGGTCCCTTACACATAAACTTTGCTGGTTGATTAGGACGCCTACCGATGATGATAAGAGTCCCTTGAGAAGAATTCGATCAATTTTCCTGTTTGCTGCACCTTCTTTCAGTAACAATTCCAATTTAGAGCTTGGTCATTTGAATTTAATCAGAGTCTTGGACTTGAGTTCAATGTTCTTCTCAAGCTTTCCCCTGCAGATACTTAGTCTCTTTTTGTTGAGGTACCTATCCTTTTCGACTCGTAATTCTTTTGGCATACCTGGAGGACTTTGCAGATTACTGAATCTACAAACATTCATCGTTCGAGGGCCAGTTATCTCATTTATTAAGTTCCCGGAACTAATTTGGGAAACAACACAATTAAGGCACCTGAAACTCAGGAATTTTTATTTGCCAGATCCTCCAAGTTCATCCATTGATGGAGAGAGGAACTTGTTTTGGCCAAACATACAGTCTGTTTCGGGCTTGATTCCTTATTGTTGCACTAAGAAGATCCTTTCAAGGTTTCAAAACATTAAGAAATTATGTATTCGGGGGCACGTGTATGACTATGGAGTGCACGAAGAAGTTATGGACCTCCGTCATCTTGTTGATCTGCATCAGCTAGAAACATTGAGTGTTAAAGTTGATCGTTATCAGGTAAGTCACGGGAGTTCAAGATTCCATAAATCGCCTGTTTTACATTTTCCAATAAAGTTGAAGAAGTTAAAACTGGTCGGAACTTGTCTATCATGGGAGGAGTTGAACATCATAGGGCAATGGCCTAACCTTGAGGTGTTGAAGCTGAAACCAAATGCTTGTCATGGCCTAGAATGGCGTCCAATTGAAGGAAGATTTCCACAGTTGAAGTTTTTGCTAATTGAAGGTACAAATCTGAAATGTTGGAAAGCCACAAATGATCATTTCCCTGCTCTTGAGCATCTAGTGATCAGACATTGCTTTCATTTGGAGGAGATCCCTATTGAGTTTGCTGATATTTACTCGCTACAACTAATCGAGTTACAGAACTGTACTGCGAAACTCGTGGCTTCTACTGTGCTTATTCAAGAAGAGCAAGAATCCCTAGGAAGCAAAGCTGTGGACGTTCGTTCTTACAACGATCCAGGTTAGTACAATAATTTCCTTTGAAACTTAAAACAATTTTGAAGTTATATATTAAAGAGTTGATGGTCAAAAATGCAGCTAAAGTATCCCGATTTTTCGAGTTTCATATATGAACTATCAGATATGCGAGTTTCCTCCCTGAACTATCAGTTGTTCCATTTTCCTATCTGAAACATCCCCATCACTCAGGTAGGAAAAGGAAATAACTGATAGTTGAGGTGTGTTTTGATAAATAGTTGATGATAGTTCGGGTAAGAAACTCACACACCTGATAGTTCAGATATAAAATTCGAAAAACCAGATATTTAAGGTGTGTTTTTGACCTTTCCGTCTATACTAAACATGAACCAAAATCGATTCAACTTTGCGTATATCAAATGTATAGTTGACCCTTTATGTTCTTTTTGCTACAGCTGAATGTGAACTAAATGGAAGTGATTCTGATTCAGACTGATGTTTACCTGAGGATTGAAGACTTTCAGACTTGATTTGTTAATCATTTGCTTATCTTATTCCATAATTGGAGTTTATCTGAATGAACATTGGGGCTATTGCAGACCAACATTAACTGTTGCTAAGGCATTATCAGTGAGATATGAGATCGAGGAGAAGTAGTCGAGATATACACAAGTTGATCCCCATTTCAATTTGTTTTTCTTACTCTACTTTTTTTGTTAGTCTCAAAAAGAATGTCTATTTCCTTTTTTTTGGCAACTTCTTATTTAAACTTTCCATATGACTGATGATATATTTAAGACTACAAGATAAAAAGACATTTTGATACATTCTACGTATCTTTAATGTAGAATTACATAATTCAAAAGTCTTCTTTAATTCTTAAGTTTCATGTCAAGTCAAAATTAGTCAAACAAAATTAAAAGGAATATAAGTTTTTCAACAAGCCTTTGATCTATAGTTGAATCAAGAAGTGGTTCTTCATCAAATGGTCAGAAAGTTAACAATTTCAAATCATTAAATTAGAGCCATTATTTGTCAGCCAGCCGAGAGTCCGCTAGAAACAGTCTCTACCTTCGTAAGATAAGACAGTATATACACCATCTCTACCTTCATTTTGGTAAGATAAGACTGCATATACACCACCCTCTCGGATCCACTTGTGGGGTTACACCAACTATGTTGTTGTCGTCGTCGAAATAAAGCATGAAATGATTTTGCATTAGGACAAATTGGCCTCAAACATATAGCTCATCTGGGTGGTTTGGGTAAATAAATCCTATTCTTTTAGCTGACAACTATGTTAATTTATGTTCTCATATGTAGATGTGAAATTTCATCCCTCCAATGTAAGCTAAAAATTAATTTTGTACTTTAATATATCAATATTATGTCACTCGATCATATAAGGAGGACGATATTTTTGAAAACACGAGTCACCAAGAAGGTAAGAATTCCAACCTATCCGATGCTTCTTGGGTCAAATACGATACACAAGCTGACAAGCACCACATTTTAATAGAGAAAATAGAAAATGTAGATTTTCTACTTTCATACCTTCAACCAAGTTCCTATGAGGTTGGATAGCCCCATATAGTTGAGCAGCAGCAACTTTGAGAGTTGAATAATGATGTAATACTTGAATTATAATCAAGTTCTTATACAGAAAAGTCAACAAACTTATGTTGAGTTTCAGGATGAGCATTGGTTTAGGTCCCTTACACATAAACTTTGCTGGTTGATTAGGACGCCTACCGATGATGATAAGAGTCCCTTGAGAAGAATTCGATCAATTTTCCTGTTTGCTGCACCTTCTTTCAGTAACAATTCCAATTTAGAGCTTGGTCATTTGAATTTAATCAGAGTCTTGGACTTGAGTTAGCAACACAATATAATAGAGAAAATAGAAAATGTAGATTTTCTACTTTCATACCTTCAACCAAGTTCCTATGAGGTTGGATAGCCCCATATAGTTGAGCAGCAGCAACTTTGAGAGTTGAATAATGATGTAATACTTGAATTATAATCAAGTTCTTATACACCATAGACGGAATGAAAGCGAAAAGAAACACAAATATTCACATAAATTTGACCTTTCGAGTACAAGTTAAAACAAGGAAACAAAGCGCAAAGTTGTGCATCAAGAGAATATCAAACGGAGAATGGCCCCGGAGAACTTGAATGACTTCTCTGTCTCTTCCAGACAATGATTCTTCTCCTCTCTAGTCCAGTTCTGAGCAAAAGAATCGAAAATGGATCATGTTAAGTCGTTAACCCCATCAATGAAAACGAGTAAGGTAAAAGAAAGATTATTGTTTTAAAAAGTTGAAAACTTGTAAAGAAGGGGAGGCTTAAGATTTTACTTCTGCAACTTTGTTCAGCTTATCCCTAACATTCTGCAGCAGCTGGGAAAGATCACCGTCCCATTTGTAGAATTCCAGCTCTTTCTTGTCGAGTACCTTTTCAGCTACCTATAAAGCAAGAAGAAGCATGATTGTCGACAAGTAACCGCCTTTTTCCTTATAACATTCATAGCTCTAAGAAGGGAAGAAGCAAAGGAATAAAACTATGCAATAGGGTGACAACCAACTCTACCACTGTACTAGTCTAACAGAGGAATTTGTATCCACAGTATAGGATTACCTCCATTTTTACATTTCTTCTAATCTGAATTTATCATCTTCCAAGCATTTTTAACACTGATGAAAGCTCAAATTTTCATCTTTACAACGTTGTTTAGTTTATTTGTTACTGTAATCATAATTTCAACAGACTTAAGTTGATGTTGCAATTTTGAGACTAAGCGATGATAAAGATAGGAACTTATAACATTTCAACTATCCATCAAATTTGAAGTACTAGAGTGGATGAATGGAAGTATGGTGAACAGAGAAAAATGTAATTAAGAAAATTTTAAGGCATATGAAAGGCAACTCAAGTGGCAAACAGAAAACAGACTACGAAGAGGGGAAGAGATATGAATCTATACAAGGGTGTAATGACTTGAGTTTATTGAGAACAAAAAACAATGTCTTCTCCACATGAGTTGCCTCGGATACCCTTCAAAAAAGAAAACCTTTTATGGTATTGAAGTCGGGTCCAACTTGCGAGCACCTCGGCTATTCCACCGAGTACCTGCTACCTCCCACTAGCACAGTACTGGGTAACTCTGCCCACTAAGGCTTAAATTGTCCTAATATATTGTCTCCACTCTACTAGAATTTGAACCTGATACTTCATGGTTCTCCTCACACCTCATTGACCAAGACCAACTATGTGTCAAAGTCACATCTTTGGGTGTCATCAGAGGATACCCTTCAAATTATGACTTAGAACCATCTAAGCTTTTGTTCATTCCATATTTCTATAATAAATTCTAGCTTTATATACCACAGTATCAGACTAACAATGCAGAATAATACTAAAAACTTAAAAGAAGAGATCACTGACTTTTCTCCCTATCATGCGGCCTCCAGCTGAATGAGCAAAGTAGGTGTTGTAAAAATGGCAAATAAATGCTTGAGGATCCTTTTCTGATAGCTCTTCTAAGTAACGAGCATATGTGACACCAGGAGTTGACGGTTCCGGGATGGCATGACCTTGCTGCCTAAACCATTCCAAATCCTTTGCTAGAACCTCAGACCTTTCTAATCCTGTGTTCCTGAACTCAGCATCTGCAGTCAAATGAAAAGAGTACTAAGATTCTGTTTTACTACCAACTCATTTATTTATGCATCTATGTGGAGAGTCTGTGCTTGGAAAGGCACAGATCACATGCCTTTGCCGTAAAAGAAAAGCAAGTACTTTGTGTGTAAAGCAAGTTAACTAATTCATGTTGTGAACACTGTTGGTGAAAAAGCATTACTCAACATAAAGCTGAAACAACCAAAGCGAAAGAAAAAGGAAGCATAGCAGATCAGCCCAGGGGTCATTAGTTAGAGCTGAAATGCAACTGATTGGTTCAAAACAACATCAGCAAATCAGTACTTCTCTCACCTAAGCTTCTCTATTATTCAGAAGACAAATTCTACCATGTCCCTTTACATGTCTTTGTTAGCTCAAATATTGAGTTACAGATTATGGAAAGAATTTCAACATCTACGTGTTTGGGAACCAAATATCACTTTTAAGACATACTAGAAATACCAAATAATGAGTCACAGCTCGATGTTAATCGATCCCAAATCAGAGGTTTGGCTATCCTTCTTGAGCCATCTAAGCATTCCGAAAAGAACACTTCTTCCACGTAATTAAAAGGCACTCTAAATGCAATGTTTTCTTCATAAGAAACTTGATAAAAAAATTCTCCAAAGAGAAAGATAAAAAAAAGGCAACACTCAGTCCTCTTGTTGAATAAAATCATCAATTATCAACAATTCCCTTGCTCTATCATGTTGCTCAGAAATACCAATAGAAACCAAAAATCTTTCTACAAAGATCTCCAAAGTTTAAAGAGTACAAATTATTTTTGATCAAGTGCAAGTATTAGTATATTCATTCATAAACATGGTCAAACTTGTCATATACATGGAATATACCAAAAAGTAAAGAATCTACAAAACATGATTTTCTATACAACTGGGAACTTTCTGTTTACGACGAAAGAAAATGAGGGATCGGAGACTACTCCTCAACTGATTAAAAAGTATAATATATTCCCACAAAAGGAGGAGTCCATCAAGCTTTATCAATTATCAATAACATGAACCAAACAAAACAATATATTAGAACCTTAATGGATGTCAAAGAATCAATTACCAAAAAGCAGTATAGGTACCAACAGAATTGAAAAACTCATCTCAAAATTCCATAATTTCCAAAGTTAAAAGAGTATAACATACTACCAATTGTCAAGTTTTTCAATTGTCAATATCATGAACCAAACAAAACAACATATTACAACTCTAACAGATGCACATAAGTTAAGAAAACTCACACTCAGGAAAAGGAGCCTTTTCCACAATTTTTTCCAAAGTATCATAAACCAATTTGCTATCCACCAAGAACTTCAAGTACCCTTCAACACTAGGCTCCCACTTAGCCAAAGGCTGATCTACAGGCTCTTTTTCCCCTTCCTTAGCCTGGTCCTTAGTATGCAATTTCATAGCCACAAACCTCATTTCCTCCACAAACCCCTTAGCCTCACCAGGGTACCTCTTATTAGATTTCTCAGCAGCAGTTGTTGCTGAAACTACCACCATCCTTGATTTTTTCAAAGAAAGATTAGAACTTTGAGTGAATCTTGAAAAGGGTATTGAACAAAACTGATTTTGAGGCTTGTTCAAAACTGTAAACTGAGTTTTCTCCAAAAGGGGTTGAGATTGAGATAAGGGTGTTATAGAAGCCATCTTAAAGGAAGAGTCTTGAACAAAGGGTATTTGAAAAAAAGAAGTGAAAAGGACAGATTAACCTTCTTCTTGAATGGATTGGAACAAGAAAGAAGTGCTGATTGCAAAAAAAAATTGAATCTTTTAGTATTCTTTAATGTGTATAAGGGTTTCTTAGAAGCAAAAGCTATAGATACAACAATACAGTGTATCTATATGATGATATATGTAGAAAAATGAATATAAAAATGATTTTTTTAATGGAATTTATGGGAAGTTTTTCAATTTTCAATGGTGTTTACAGTGCAATGGCTAAAAGTTCTTGGAGTCCTTCACCATGGATAGGTTTCTATAACGTTTCTCTCCGTTTATTTTTACTTGTCTAGTATATACTAAAAATATTAAGTGAGTTATACTTTATTATTTTGTATCTAAATTCATTTATACTTTGTAGAAGTGATGTAACAAAATTGTTTTTTATTTATTGTGTTTAAAAAAATATGTCAAATCAAATATGAACAAGTAAAAATGAACGTTGAAATTATTTGTTTTATAATTGAGAAATGATTTCGTAACAGTAAAGTAATTTGATGAATACGACGTCGTTTAAGTCCTTTACGTTTTCTTGATTCTTATTGTGTGGCCCTATTAATAAGTTCCTTAAAATATATACTATATATGAAAAAAGGGTGACATGGAATTCCTAGTGCCATTAATAAGTATTCTTAGGAACCAAAAAAATAGTAAAAATTATTTTGGTTATTTGTTAAAGAAAAAGAGGCGAGTATCTATTGAAAATTATATATATCATTCTCTTCAGATTTCGCTTATAAATCACATTGGTATTTCACTAATATTATATTTGTTAAAGGAAAATAATTAATAGCATGCTTTATAATTTTTTGGAAAGTCATAAGTATTTATTCTTTTGAAGGGGAAAAATGATTAGTTTAGACTTTAGAGAGCTTGTGATCAAATTTTAAGAAAAATAAATAATTTATCATTATTTTAAAACTTTGACAAACACGAATTACTGCTATAATATTTAATTATTTATTATTATTAACTTAAAAAGAAGGAATATAAAGTAAATCTATATTTTCTACCCAAAAGTCAACTTGTAATTTTATTTTATTTTATTTTATTTTCTTATACTTAACGTTAAAGTAAAATTTAATATTCCAAGTTGACATAGCTTTTAGTAAGACTTAAGTTTTGGTTAACGATTAACTGCTAATTTGTCTTTGGGATATATATAATAGTTTGATGAAATTAAAATTTGTTAATCTTTTAGAATTTTTTTTTATAATATCTCTTATTCAAGTTTCATTATTTCATAAAATAACTCTTTAATATTTTTCTGGTGCTTGTATGAGTATTGAGTACAGAGTACTTATCGTTTGGTATTTAATAATTCGTAACTCAAAGTAAATATCAAATAGTGAATTCTTAAAATATTTAGTTTAGCAAATCAAACTCGGGTAAGGTAATCAAACTTTGATTTTGTAATTGCGTATTGAAGAAAAAGATATGTTCATAATTTGTCCAACGGTACATGTTAGCTTTTAGAGAAATCATGTAAGAAGTTAGATTACCTCCACTTTTAAATTTTGAGTTGTGGATTTATCGACATAGTCAATCAGATATTCAAATCATTTATTAATCTTACTCATATATATAATAAATAATTCATTATGATTGAATGGTGTTTAATATTCAATTCGATATTTCAAATTTCAATATGATATGATAATCAACAAATCTCCATCTGATTCGATTTTTAATAATTTATATTGCGTGTGGCCATGTAACTATTTAAAGGTTTTTGGTGGTGGTTCATAACTTCAATAAATTTGTGCATGTGATCGAGAATTGCTATTTACAAAATCTTGAATAAGTCGATGAATATAATATTAAGTAAAGATATGATCGATTTTTATTTTTATTATTTTATAAAGAAGAACAATAATGTATGGTACCAATAATGATGAGGATAACAAGAAGGTACAAGCATGGGAAGAATTGAAAAACAATTATTTTAGTGTGACATTTTCCTTTCCGATTTAACAGATCGATATTCAAAGCATTCTATAAAATTACTTTATAGTAATTGGTTAGCTCGAATATAATAAAATCATAAAATGCTTCTTTTCAAAATATTATTTATTTTCTTTAATTCAAAATCTTCTATTAAAAGTAGATAGACTTCAATCATTTTAGATTAGGGGAGTTAAAAAGAAATCAAATCAAATGAAGAAAGAAACTGATTGGTACTTTGATTTGATGTTTTAAAAAAATGGATCATATTAAGAAAATCAAATCGAGAAAAATCGAAATAAAAAAATCAATGTTAACTGTTTTGATCTATATATTTAAAAAATCGACATAAATAATTTAATTTGAAAAATAAATAAATAAAATTAACTAACATCCACTGTCAAAAAGCTAAGATTCTCAATTATTTTCATCTTTCAATATTTAAATATAAATAAGAAAATAGTATTATAAGGCAATTTGGACACAAAATAATTGAGGCAATTTGGACACTTACATGGCTTACTGAAATTAGGGAGCACTTTACTCTAGAAATTTTCAGTGTAAGTTCAGACTTAGTCAGGTTTTTATTGAGTGTATTTAATAACAGAGAGAGAAAAAATAGTTTTACAATATAGAAAAGAATCATATTTGTTCTTATACTCTCATAAATAGGTTATATTTGGCCTTTATTACACTTTTTAAACATATTTGCTATTTTCATTTAATTTTAGAGTCATATTTGTTCTTATACTCTCAGAAAGGGTCATATTTACCCCTACGACGTTAAATGCTCGTGTCCTCAATACATTTATCCTTTTCTTTTCTTGTAACTTTAAAGTCATATTTATCCTGATACTCTAAAAAAAGGTCATATTAATCACTACAACATTAATCCTCATGTTCCACCTTAATTTGTTATGTGATTTATGACATATTCTTTTCAATTAAATCTATTAGACCATTTATTGGGAAAAAATACATTAACTCATGTATTAAATAAGTTATTAGCCCATTTATAAAATAAGTTACTAAATTAATTGGGGGGGGAAAATATGTCCTAGATAAATAAGTTGTTATTCCATTTGTTAAGTATTTGCTAAAAATATGTTCCGAAGGATCCACATATCCGTAAATCATATAAGAAAATTAAGGTAGAACATAAGAATTTAACGTCGAGTAACTAAAATCTTTTTTCTAAGAGTATAAGAAAAAATATTGCTATAAAGTTTTAAAAAAATGACAAATATATTAAGGACATAAGTATTTAATGTCTGGATAAGTGCCTTCATATATTAGTAAAAGACTTTTTTTTTTAACTTATAAGCTATATTTATCTTCTTAATTTAAATCCAATAATAGTATTTGCAGGACGTCGAAAAACTAAAAAGATCAAAGCAAAATGTAGAAGGAATTGGATGTAGTACTAGAAAAAATAAATGTGTTTAGTAAAGGAAAATGCAGTAGATACTAATTAATCTCATTGAAATAATCAAATCAAATCGACCTATGTATATCCCGTCCTCAACACTACTCGGGGTATTTTAGTGAGACATGGATAGAACTCGCCCCTAATTTTGTCTAGTGAAGAAAACAAATGTTGAGAAACGTTTAAAAGATAATTATATTCAATAGTGGATATGAGAGTTATATGTATGAAAAAAATTTCACATTATACTTGATTGTAAATCCAGTTATTATATATAGACTTGAGATTGTTGTCGAAACCCATAAATATCAAATCCCGTATTTTATTGACAAATTCAAAAAGGTAATTAAGGAGTTTGTTTATTCATGATTAAATTAGCTAAAAACAATAATGTGATTGTTGCTCTTGTGACTTACTTCTAGCTAGTTTGTTACCATGTCGATCACATTACAAGCATGAACAGAGTCAAAATTTAGACGTAGTGTGTTCTAAAATTGAAAGATTAGATTTTGACTGTCAATACTTTCTTTCTTCAATAGTTTCATCACAACTTTTTACACTAGCATTTCTTCCAAATCCGTTCAGGAAAACGATTTTCTTAAGCGCCAAGGGTCTATCAGAAACATCTCTACCCCACAAAGGTAGGGTAAGGTTTACGTACACTTCACCCTCCCAACCCGGACTTGTGGAAGTACTATCAACTATGTTAGGTATTATGTTGTTGTTTGCCATCCTTCAATGGTAGCAAAGTGTTGATCTTAAATGTTATTAATGAAGTTCCAGTTTCTAGTCTAATTTGGTCCCTCTATGGTAATCCTCTACAGCAGTTTTGTTCTGCATTTTTCACTTTGGCCTTCAGAAATCTTCAACTTTCCAGACATTTGCTTGTAGCAAAAACTTGCCTTATTTTTCAGGTTACGAATCCATTTTACGGTCGATTACCTATATAGGCTATAGCTGCTAGCTTTAGGTAAATCTTACAGCTGAAAATTGTCAGTACATAGAAGTTAAACTCGTGAGAATAGTAGTTTTATGATCACTGAATGTTGGGAAGTGGGTTGGGTTTCTCTTTGACACCAACTAAACAGGTGTTGAAGACAAATCTGTTTTCTGATAGAACCAAGTCACCTACACATATTGGCTCAGGGACATTCTCAGGTAGACAGTTTCTAGAGGCATAAAGTCTCGAATGGTAATGAACAGAGGTTTCTCCTCGAGTCAGATGAATATTAACACTCTTGAGTACAAAAGCAGAAGGGAGCTTGAATACAAAACTCACCAGTCGAGCAAGGACGACAGCCAGCCACAGTGACCTAATGATGCCAAGTAGGGGAATGTGCAATTGTTAACTTACTTTCTCTCGGTTGCTTCAATGCCTATGATAAGCCCTCACTTCAAAGATGTAACACAAATAAAGACTGTCTTCACCGCCGTGAGGTCAACAAGTTAGGCAGAGGCAGGCTCGAAGCAGACAGTATTCAATAGTGTGCATAGCAAAGATAAAAGGCATTTAAAGGCAAACAAGATACATACTAGCAGAATAATCAGTTTAAGAGATGAACGAGAGGAGTTCATCACACACACTTTTGAGATTAAAATGTGTATTTTACATGTGCGTTAGTATCTAATACATGCAAAACATGTGAATTATCAGACCCAAAAAAGGAAAAAAGAAAAATACTACTTGGTGTATAAAAAGAGAACACATTCAAGGGGGCATCAAACAACTGTCCCGATATAGTTAAGACTACTTGGCTGCTTGTTCTAAGATTGGAATTTTATTCCAAGTATCTTCTGGTCCACTAATTTGCAATGGAGGCAATGAGAAAGCACTAACCGTTGAGCTCTTGCTCCGAATCTCTTTTAAAGCTCGTAAAGCAGATATGGTGC